AGTTTATTTATGGTTATTGAATCTGAATTTGCTCTTCTGGAGAATGGAGACTTCACTCTTCCTTCCTCTCAGAGAGGTTATTAGGACAGATAACTATTTTTGGAATGAAAGTAGTTGAAATCTCTCAAAAAGAGGCAGGAGAAAAATTATACTATAATGAAAAGTCATGTTAGAATTAAAAAGAATTGACTGTTTCATATGAATAGTAAAGTATCCATTTAGGAAAAGATTAATAGGTATTACTCTCCCCTCCCCCCTAACCAGTTGCTATTGTTGCCCCTCTCAGTTCTTCACAGGTAATTATCCAGTCTAAATGTTTTACAAGCAGAGTGCTCTGGCACACAGGTCATTTGCAGGGAGATGGATAAGTCTTGCAGTGGTGCATGGGCACAAGTATGCAACCCCTCTCTGAGTGCCACTAATGATAAGGAGCCTGGTAATGTTGAAGACCATTGCCCTCCAGGGGAATGAGGTCAAGGGGCCTTGGTGGTAAGACAGCTGAAGAGTGGATATAAAGAGGAGAGGTATATGATTTTGTCACTAATTCCCTCACTTTTCTCACTGAGTATTGCTTTGGCTATTCTGGGTCTCTTATTTTTCCAAATGAATTTCATAAATGATTTTTTTCTATTTCTAAGAATGTTATTGGAATTTTGATTGGAATTGTATTGAATCTGTCTAGCACTTTTGGTATTATGGCCATTTTGACAATATTAATTCTGCCTATCTAAGAACATGTGAGGTCTTTCTAAGGTCTTCTTCAATTTCTTTCTTTAGTGTTAGGTAGTTTTCATTGTAGAGGTCTTTCACCTCTTTTGTTAGATTCATTCCCAAGTTTTTGTTTGTTTGTTTGTTTTGACTTTTGTCTTTTGAGGCTATTGTGAATGGGATAGTTTTCCTAATTTCTTTTTAGCAGATTTATCATTGGAGTATAGGAACGCCATTGATTTCAGTATTAATCGTGTGATTTGAATGTTAATCGTGTATCCTGCTACTTTTGCAGAATTCATTTATGAGCTCTCACTGTCTTCTGATGGAGTGTTTAGGGTCTTCTAAATATACAATCTGTCATCAGCAAACAGAGATAATTTGAGCTTTTCTTTTCCTATTTGGATCTCTTTAATTTCCTCTTCTTGCCTAATTGCTCTGGCTGGGGTTTCAAGAACCATGATGAGTAGGAATAGTAAAAGTGGGTATCCTTGCTTGTTTCTGTTTTTAGAAGAAATTATTTCAGTTTTTCTCCATCCAGAATAATGTGGGCCTTGGGTTTGTCATACATAGTATTTTCAATGTTGAGGTAAGTTTCTTATATTGCCTAGTTTCTCAGTGTTTTAAAGATGAGTGGGTGCTGTATGCCTCCCATGTATTTTAAATCATCTCAAAAGTATTTATAATACCTAGTAAATGTAAATACTATGTAAATAGTTGATATACTTTATTGCTTAGGAATAATGATGAGAAAAATGTCTGTAAGAGTTCACGAGAAACATAGGTTTTTTT